GACAGCGCTACCGGCTAGCAGAGTTCCATTTCCGTTGCGTGACAGGTTCTCAGCTGAATTGGGCAAACTAGTGAGCGAAGGGGTGATTGCCAAAGTCGATGAGCCAACCGATTTGGTTAGTCAGGTTGCAGTAATTACGAAGAAGACTGGAGAACTACATGTGTATACTGACCCAAAACCGTTAAATGTGACTGCATACAAAGCATGATGCGCTACCTACCATAGAAGACATTTCGCCGCATCTGACCAAAGCTACGTTTTTCACAAAGGTAAACATCTCTTCGGCATTCTGGCACGTGGTGTTAGATGATGAATCCAGTTTCCTTACTACATTTGCAACTCTGTTTGGGCCTTCTCTTTGGCTGCGTTTACCGTTTGCCTTGAAGGTGTCGAGTGTACTTTTCAAAAGCGATTGGTACAAGCGGTAGACGATTACATGGTAGAACATGTGTCCTAGACGATGTTTTGATTTATGGGTCGACAGAAGAAGAGCATGACGCTAATCTCCACCGTTTCTTGCAGCGTTGTCTGTAAAAGAACTTCAAGCTTACATGTGAGAAAAAGAAAGAGATGATTTTTCATGAACATTTGCTAACGACCAAAGGGGGCATGGTCGATCCAGGAAAAATTTAGGCAATTCGAGAGATGCCGCCACCTAACGGATATTGGTTTGAGCTCAGTGCAGCGCCTATACAGCCGAAGAACTAGAACTCTGATGCCGGCATCTGCCACGCTTTTGCGCCCAGTTTCGCCACAGCATGAGAGGTTACAGAACAATCTGAGACGACAGATGATCACTCGGAAACGGTACTATGACGGCGGTACGCGGGTAATACCTAAGGAAGGAAGGGTGGGTTCAACCATTACCCGATGGTCAAGAGCGGTGGAAGAAAGGTGTGGTGACTGCGAGAGTCGGCGCCAGGTCATACAAACTAAACATTAGAGGGAAAACGTTCAGCAGAAATCGAGTGTATTTGAGACGGCACCGGAAACAAAACTGTGGATTGGGAGTGGAGCGCCAGATGGCGTGGAGCAAGGAGACCACGGCCGCAGATACATCGAAGACGACGCCGAGTGGAAAGCTATACTGGATTGATAGCAATATGGAGGCGCAAGCACACGAAAAAGGGTGGATGTGATGCGTTAGCACAGAGTGAGCGAATGGACCAACCGAACGAGCCAGAAAGCCAATAGGAGGCGAACGTAATGGATTCGCTTACTGGACTCGGACTTGCCGCTATTCGTGTGCGTGATTCACCGTTTAAAGTTGGACTTAGAGAATCCGTTTGTTTAACTGAAACAAATGAGGAACCTCATCGGCTCAGGAGGGTCGACCTAGAATTTGCAGAAGAACCTATATCACTGCAGTCACTGCTTACTGGGCTTGACCAATCACCCTCTATGCTCGGGCTCGATATTAACATCGTCAGCCACCCAGTCCGGCCCGTCGCTCTCCTTACGTGGCTAACTCGTCGAGTCTGTTCCTGAATTCAAGTATCTTGGATCCACTATTCTCCCTTATGGTCAGGCTACATCCGAAACCCGGAACTGTATTGACAGCGCTAGAACAACCTTCTTACAACTGAGAAACACGTTGTGGCGAAAGACGGGAATTAGTCTGAGAACGAAAATCCGAGTATTCCCAGCGACAATTCGTACCATTTTACTCTATGGTTGCAAAACATGACCGCTGCGATCCGAAGACACCCGGAAGCTGGAAGTCTTCGACCATTGGTATCTAAAACTTATCTCGAAAATAGTGGCATGTGCTTATTACCAATGACGAAATCCTTAGGCGCTGTTACGGTCTTTCGAAGCTCTCAACGCTCATCCAACGCCGCAGACTTCAGTGATTCGGTCACGTTCTCCGCAGACCAGACACTAGGGCCGTGGTTTCGTCATCGCCTTGCCAGGGTTGGTGTTGTCGCCATGGTGGACAATTAAAAACATGGCTCGCTGCAGTGAAATCGGATGTCGCTCTTCTGTGCATCGTGCTCGTCACTGGAGAAATCATTGAATCAGTCTCTGCGTAGAGCTTGCAGCCGACCGTTCCGCTTAGATAGGTGAAATCCGCGGCATTCATGAAGCCGGCTCATCTTGTCGCGGCAGCTAGCCACAGTAAAGCAAAGTAAAGTAAGAAGACACTAAATGCTTGGTCGTGTTTGACCATTAGTGCTTGCGGAGTATTGCTGACGTGTGGTGGAAACACCAGGTGAGCAATACTACGGTCCGCCTAATGGTTTTTGGCAAGAAGCCTTCTGGCGTCTTACTGGAGCGTTTTCTGAATCTTAATTGCTTACGTTGGCTAGGCCATATCCTCCGTATATCCAATGACTGGCTTCCTCGGCGTGCATTATACACCGTGGCTCCACCAAGTTGAATGAAACCCCGAGGTGGCCAGTTCATGACGTGGCATAGTGACATGAAGAAATTGAGACTTGGTCAGATGGGTGCGTGCCCTCTTCGTGAATGGGGCCTCGCGATGGTCCACGCTAATGGTTAAGGACCGTATCAGAGATGACGCCGTCACGCAGTCAGTGGCGTTCTTGCATTCGGTTTCTTGAATCTGGTAGCTGATTTTCGCTCCATTTTAATTAGTCTGACACGCTTGTTTCTATTTTCTTTATCTTCTGTTCACTTTTAACCCCACTATTTTGCCGTTGTTATTTTTATTCATGCGATATGAGTCGTGGCAACTGAATCCACCGCACTTCGGTGCTCGGATCATGGTTGATCAACTGATGAACTCTCCGCTTGTCAGTTTCGTGAGAGGGATTGTGTTCGATGTTCTACCATCAGAATGCGACTTAACACTGACCCACAAGACAGTGGATTAAATGTGGGTTCGCTTGATATTCATCATTCATTCATTACGCACCTTAACCAGAGGTGGGAAAACACAGCTACTGTGTCGCAATACATAAACGAAAAAGAAAAAATGCAACAGCTACATGCCAGCTGAGCTACCAATAACGGATGGGCATCGTTCCAGAAATTTACCAGCCGGCAACTGCGCAACAAAAGACATATATTATACAAATAACTATTATGTTAAAAAGAGGTCGTGGTTGGAGTGTGGGGCTAAGGGATGGGGAGGGACAAAGAAACTCAGCCATTTTGTTCCTTTCCTAGCCATGTCAGCAAGCGTATCCAGCCAAACGTATTAACCGTCCTTCGGACCACAACCAGGGAGTCGGGACGCTCCAACTGAGGCCAGCTTCGAAGTGAGGACCTTCATTCCTCTCGACGAAGTCATCGCCTGGCCGCCTCTTCTCTTCTTCCATCCGCACCCCGGTGCGCAAACAACGCACTTTGCGGACGCAGGTGGGCTGACATGCGTAACACGTGGCCGAGCCATCGGAGCCTTTCCCTTGATGTGCCCTACCCGGAGTCTGGCTTAATAGCTTGACCCACAAAGAATCAAAGAGTAAGTCCAGCTCGGAATTGCGAGGCCTATTTGGATCTGCTTAGGACCTGTTACACGCAACCTTTGCAAATTTGGATCTCTTCGCACGTGTTTTTCGACCATCGTATGTTCCGCACTTGGGACCACGTCCAACCGCATTGGGGAGTTGGCCGCTTTGCACCCGTTTCTTCAGGCGATGCCTTGCTTGAGGCGGACAGCAGCCCACCTTTGAGCACCGGACGATGCTATCTTACCGTCAGAGGTAATATGGGTCACTCAACCCCCGGAGAGGATGCTGAGACTACGTTGCCTTGAGCCCTTACCACTAATCTATCCAGTATGACTGCGAAGCTACTTGGAAAGTTCCACCTAGCGTAACTCACTGAATCATGGATATACGCAAACCACTCCATCACGTTAAGGTGCAATCTTGTCGTTCAACTTTTTGTGCTCAGCTTTTTCCGGACGCGTTTTTCTTCAGCTACACGATAAGTTGGCGATTCCGTTCGTTAGCAAGAAACCGCCTTGTGTCTGCAACTCCACTAGCTCTAAAAGTTGAAGTTCTATTGCCCTGCCGAATCGTTACACCAAAACGAAAGCTTATAGCGACACTGTTGCAAGGACGATGCTTTCATTCGTTGCGAGATAAGCGATATCCTACTATAAGACATCATTGAGCCATCCTTTTCACCATGGAGAGCTCCAGTGCTAGTTACTACCAATGAACGAAACAAACTGCATATTGTCATACCTTACAGTCTCACGATAAACTGATTCACACGTCTCGACGATTATCCTCTGACTTAGTTGGACGAAATGGTCCAAAAGGTTGCTTTGTTTCTGACGTCCCTTGAGTTTAAAGAGTAAAGAGACAAACACAGGAGTAAAAGTAGTACACCGGCACGTGTCGAAGTCTCGCTGTCGCGCGACCACGACTAGTCTCGCTTTGGCTAGGAATACTGCGAAGTCGCCCGCGCCCACGCAGTTTGGAACCAGAAACCCTCGGATTACCGGGAAAACACCTTTCTTTCCAGCCACCAAACGATAGATTTAAAGAGTGCTCACTTTCAACTCCCTTTCAAAACTGACGAACGACAGTACACCGACTTCGAGGCTTTCAGCAAAGCTGTTCGGTTCTGTTTCACACCTTTCGGGGCAAATAATGGCGTCTCTTGCTTTCAAAGAACCATTGATGTAATAATCTCTGAATAAAATTTGGTCGATATATCTTCCTACACAGACAGCGGCATCGTTTATGGAAGACCATACTTGACATCGGCAGAATTTAGATCAATTTTTGCACGTCCACTCAAATTACCGTATTACTTTCAATGACACAGAAAGCATGTTGGAGCCAAGCAAGTTAAGCTTCTGGGCATGAGCTCTCAAAAAGCATAAGTATGCCAAGCGATTGGAGCCTTTACAGGAATTGTCTTCTCTCACTGGCATTAAGGCTCCACGGAGTGCAATAGCGATGTTTGATTACTCTGTCTGATCCGAACTTATTTAGCTCACCAATTACGCTGATGGATTTGGAACTTAACGTCGTTCTTTCGTTACACTCATGTCATCCCAAATTCTGCCTATCTTTTTAGGTATTCACGCAAAAACATTTTCCATTCATTCTGGCGGATTCAACATTGCAGACGATCCACGCTTCTACCGACCACACAAGTGGTCATCTGGATGCGCCGGAAATCAGTGTTCTCGACATTTACGACATAGCGGCATCAATTGGCAAGGAGTTTGAAGTGATAATTGATCAGTATGGTGCGGACGCAGTGTCCTCCCTCATGCCAAAAGTTATCATACTTCTGGAAGAACTTGAGGATTTCGCGACACGTTTTGACTCAGAAAGTCGTGAACTCGTGACTCTTCAACTTGCTGTCCATCGTTTAGAACTTGAAAAGCTCAACAGAGAAAGTAACAAAACCAGGAAAGAAAAGGTAATTATCTTATTATCAACACCACTGTTGACCATTTCAATGTGGCTTAGGCTTTCTGTACTGTGTGCTGGATAAGGTCCGTCAATTAGGTCGCTTGTGTCGATACAAAGTGCGTAGCTGTTTGTTCTTCTTTTATCCATAGCCCAAGAAGTAGGCCATTCGGTACATCCTCTGCGAAATTGCGACGACAGGAGCGCTTCCGTCGGGGTCACTAAAGAGCCAGTCTGGTGTAAGGGTTTCATTTTTCCTGCAAGTCTGCTGTAAAGAGACTAGAAGGTATCAATAACAAGCCGTGTTCTTCGACCAAATGCTCCACCATCACACAAGCAATAGTACTACTACACTGAGGTGCTGCAGGTTTATTCGTACCTACGCAAGTTCTAACTAGTGGCTCGCGAATAACTAGTCAAACACCTTGTTAGGCACTGAGATCTGCTGTGGGTCACAGTGAGCGTTTTCGCCTGCACTTAGCCGAATTCTCGCCGTCTTTTTACCGAACCTTTAATGAACTTAACTTCTCCCATATAATATGCTGTCAATCATTCTTCACTACTGCTTCCGTCTCCATACCACTTTTTTCAGGCAATTCTGTGACTTCGTGCTGGTCACTGGAACAAGTAAAGTCAATAATATGCTGTATACATGAAAGGTGAATATCCAGCTTTAATACACGCCACGCAAGGGATAAATTATGAAATAGAATAATACATGCGGGTAGATATAAAATTACAATCGTCGAAAAAATGTTGACTGCTAACATCGCAGAAGTACTTCACTGACCATTTCTTGAATGGCTGAGTTTTTATCTGTCGAAAAACGTCACAAGTGAGGAACTACTGATGTAGTACCATAGGTCATTGTACGTGTTTATATGCTTTTGTAGCTCTGTCTGGCCGAGGAGGTTGATGTGCATCCGGATAACACTTTGTGGACGTACTTGCTAACATCAATGACTATTTTAGATGTAGGCTTGTTACAGGTGTTAACATGGCTGGATACAATAATGTTAACAACTTCTGGCCTTGAAATGCTTCTACACCGGGATAGATGTTTCACTGACTTAGCCATTACTTTGAGGTTCTTATTCAGGAGACCAGGAAAGATCAAGGAACTGACATAGGTCCAGTAGGGTGACACATACGGTGGTAAGGCACTGGATCAAGAAACAGTGTACGGAAGAAGACCTGAGGTGTGTAACAGAACGAGTTTCCTAACTTTAGTGAACTTTTCGTTTACATAAAGCGACCAGGAAAGTCCACTGCTCAGTGTCACCGACGTGAAAGAGAGCAGATTTCCACCATCGATGGAAAGTTATGGGCACTGCGTTAGAATTTGCTGGTAACGATTTCCTTTGAACAGCGGAAAAACACATCCTTGCATTTTGCGGTGTTCAACGGTAAGCAGCGAGATTTTGACCAATCTCAGAGGTTGTCTGGTAGCGTTTGTACTTTGGCCGACAACTGTGCTTGGCGGATGAACGCCAAGGATTGCGTTGTCTGTAAACTACAGCAAAATGGCTTCTTTAGGGAGGAGGATCGCGGGTAGCGTAAGTGGCAAATAGGAATGGGGACAAAATGGCTCCACCAGAGTTCGTGGTGAGTGAAGGAGAGGTCTTCCCAAAAACCTAGTAAACTTGGTACGCCTTATACAATAATCTTTCAACAGAAGAACAACCGAAGTTTGAACTCCTGAACCTGGTAAATCGCGTACCAGCACTTCACGGTTCACATAACCCAACTCGTTGCTAGCATCCGGGAAGCAGATGCGGATGGATTTGTTTTTATTATCCAGTGACGAATGCAAAGTGTATATCAGACATACTACTGCATCTAAGCTACACCTTGAGTTTCGCTACGCAAAGTGATGGGGTTCATCCAAATGCGCCTGTACTGAAATTCGTTTAAGCGTAATCCTTTAAAGGGTCTACAAAGCAACCGACGTGCAGGCGATTGACCGATATTTGCAACTTCCTTTCTTTGGTACCGTCGTGATACCTGCGCTTCACCAACTATCATCTATCTTGTGTTGCTTGAAGCACAATGTGTACAAGTCGGCGATAGGCTGTGCCAGATAATACATTCCTTGAGAACGATAGAAGTCAGCTTATCCGGACCAGGTGCTTTGTTCAGTTACAACCCGACTAATTATCTGAAAGTAGTTGTAACTCAGCAGAGGTTATGTCAAAGAAGGATGTACTCTCCTGGTTACAACAATTGTGGTTTAGTTCTTCCATATCCGGAGTTTACTACGTGGCCTCACAAGTGACCCCGTTTAATTGCTTCAGCATTTTCCCTATTTTTCGATAATTATTGTTTCTAAGTATGCTTTGAATGTGGATTTAGTTGAGGCGACGCAATTCGATTTCTATATCAATCGATAGAGTTTACCGATGAAATATCCTTGCCTTTAAATGCATTTTCTTTAGGCCTGTGCAGTCGTTTGAGACGAGCATCTATCAGCACGGGTGGAAATTGTTTCAATTATACAACAAGTGCCGAAGCAACGGTTTGGTGGCGAGGCGCTGGATGGTGGCCGCGGGAAGTTCCATTATTTCCCAGCTGGTAATCGGGTTGGAGAGTGCAAGATAGCAGTCCTTCCGAAGCTATGTAACCAAACTAGAAAGGCACGAAACCCCGAGGCTATAATCCTCGATTGATGCGTGAAAATAGCGATGATTGTGTCCTTGGGGACTCGTATCTATTTTCTTATACTTTCCCGAACCAGCCTATTCATCGATTTGAGGGTATGCCTGTGCATCGCCAATGAGAGTCAATGTGTATGACGTGTTAACAGATAGGTGCTCAAGGTGTCCATGCGGTAGTAGGGCTTGAGGGGTGCTAGAGATGTTTCCCGTGGCTGTGTTTTGCGTTGATCTAGTGAGTTTGACAGGCGTTTGCCTTTCCAGTCAAACGGCAGTCCTCGGATGTCTGGACCAAGGGGATCTGGAGGGTGCCACAGGTGCACTGCCCAGTATACAAAATAGGCAAAAAAGATTTTGCTGTCGCTGCTGATATCCAGTACCATCGATTTCGTGTGGTTTATTTACAATCCAAAATCCTGTATGTCCTCTCTAAATCGACCTAGGCGTTCGATTAGGGATTCTCTGTCGCGAGCAAGTAGTACAGCATTTACGTAAGCCATATGATCAATTAGACCTACTGGGGAAATCCAATATGTGTCCGATGACCTGTGTAATGCTTCCACAAGGGCTATGATGAAGATCAAGGGATAAAGTGAATCTTCCTGACGGGCTTCACGTCCTGGGCGAATCCTCAAACTGTTAACGATTGAGATTCCGAATGTATAATAGGACTTCAGCTAATGTAGGAGAAGCGAAAGCACCGAAAGTGGAGGCTGCGCGAAGCAGCGAAGCGTAGGAGATGGAATCAAAGGCTTTTGAAATATCAAGGGAAGCAATGGATAAGGGGAAACCGTTCAAGTGTGAATATCTTAGGGCGAAGTGTACTATCGTGTGGAGCTTTAAAGTAGCCATCTTTGCCAAACAAATCAAGTTGAAGACGGTCAGCTGAGAATGCAGGAATCCAGCGAACGAATAAACTCGATGAAGAAGACGGGTGAAGACTGAAATTACGGAAATTGGACAAAAGTCTTCAGGGCGATAAGCGTTAGGAATTTTTAGAACAAACGACGCGGGCTACGTTCATGTGAGTAGGGTAAGGGTAACAGGCTAATAAGCAATTTAAAAAGACGTAGTGAATTTTGGTTCTATTCGACTGATGTCCTTCGGTATGATACAGTCTACACCGGATGCAAATCCATCTATTGCTCGCAGTGCAGAAGTCGTTTCCTCAATAGTTACAGATTTTACGAGATCCCAGTTAATATTGGCACTCTCATGTGATGCACGGTTATCAGGTACTGGGAGTTGCGAGAGCACATCCTTCAAGAACTCGTTGAAACACATGCTCGCCTGTTCATCCAGCATGATGCAGTCTTCCAATGACTATTGAGTACTGTCGCGGCAGCGTCTTTCCTTCACAGGTGATAGAGGCGTTGTATGTGGGCGTATTGAAATCGCCGTCACTGAAGGCTGTTGGAGACTGTGGATACCCGTTGTCTGCGTTTACTGAGCTGTCGCGTGTGAGGGAATAAGGTTGGATACACTCTTTCCATGACATGACTAAATGCTGTCCTAGCGTGCCCCATTTGCAGGTCTTCATTGACTTTGCGAGGTTGCTGCACGATGTTTAGTTTGTTATGTACATTTGACCAGTGTTCCTCTCGCTTCCGCCAGAAGACGTTGAATGATAGAGTGGTGACCCGTGGTCTCTGTATCTAGATGCCTAGTATCTATATCGGGTTTCGCGTCTTCGGCGTATGATTAATCTAAATCGACACCGGGGATGATTCCATATGATAAAGCGGAGGATAATGATAGATGATGAAGAAGCGCCGGGCTGTCGCTTGCCTATGTCATGGTAACGTATGTTGTGTGTGCTGGCATTCAGCGTGACTATAGAGTCGTCTTGATAGCCAGTCAAATGGTAGCCGTACCACGTGAGAGGTAAAATCGGACTTGTGGCGTCCAAATGAAGTAGTAAGTGGACAACTTCGGCCAGAGAGTAGTAGAGGGAACTTAGCGACTGAATTAGAAGGGAGGATGTCGATGCAGCGTGCGTAGCCGAAATAGCTGAACAGTTATAGAGGCGTTCCCTTGCTCCCATGATGTTCCAACTGTTCTTGCAATCTTTTCTTAATACACTCATTTGATCGGCACGCAACTCGGATGCGGAGCTGACTGAGCAGCTGTAGAAGATTAGGTACGGTGGATGCTATCTCCGTGGCGCAGACCAGAAGCGCCTCGTCCTCTATTGCAGACCAGTTGCATTGGTGGTTGAATAGTCGCACCAGACCATTTGTGTTGTGAGCATCCGGATGGGCTTGACGGCCGTAATGAGACAAATGACGCTTGCTTTTGTATATTTTGCTGCATTTTGAGCATTTCAACCCCGTCCGGTTGACGACGACAGTATCGGCCA